CTCACGGGCCGGATGCAGCCCATGGGCCATAGTTTGCCCATCCCTACCCTACAGATACCACTGAAGGAAAAGCTTTCGGTATCGGTTCATGTGGCAAGCACACACACCTAATAAGGAATGGACCTGAGCAAGCACTCGAAGAAGAATGATGCCTCCTTTCTGAATCCCTCCAATGGGGGGGAAGTGGGGAGGGAGAGAAAGAGAGCGTGCAATTTCCAAAGGTGCACTCTGAGATGAAGTAGAGTCCATAGCTCCCTATACTGAGTGGCTGGGTTCTGAGGAAGGACGTAAAGCTGCTTCCATCAACAGATGTCAAAGCCTCACCTCTCCAGATTTCTTGGTCCAAGTCTTAAATCCCCTGGAGATCAGACAGTTCTCTCAAAAGGTGCCCCCTTCCAAACACTTTAAACAATGGGCTTGAGGGTCACTGACTGGCATAGACTTATTACAGGCAGACACTACTTAAACCCTCGGAACTTGGGCATGCCCCACTACTTGGTGTCGATGACACCATTACATCCAAATATGCAAAAAACAAACAAATATAAAAACAATCCTTCTAAACTAACACTAACTACTAATCTAATTATTTAAAGAGAAGCTCTCACCAAGAGAAAAGGAGAGTGATGAGGCACACAGGCTCTGTCTACCTATCACAGGTGGGGAGAAGGAACTGAGGGAGAGGTGGGGGCATCCCGACCTCTTCATACCATTGGCTATCAGCATGAGCATGTGGAGGGTGCATGTTCCATCCTGGAGATTTTTTTTCCATAGCTTCCGTGCACTGCATGAGCACATGCCTAAAGTGGAATGGACATGTACTATCACTTGAAGAACCTTAATTCTGTCATTTCATAACTTTTCTGCACTTCACTTTAGGATCGTAACATTCTTTTAATGTGTACGGAGGGAAATGTTGGGGGGGGAAGGGGCTGTTTTCTTTAATGAAGCATATACATACACTAAGGAGCCCAGCCTGGGACAGATTAGAGAGGGATGTAAGTCGGTGTCTAACATACACAGATTTTCAAAACACAGAAAAGATTCAAAAAACATATCAGTGTCAGACTCAGGTTTGTTTTTAATAATTGACAGACCAGATTCACAGGCTTGGATTTTATGTATTCATATATAAATGCAGTAGAACCTCAGAGTTACAAACATCAGAGTTACAAACTGACCAGTTAACGACACACGTCATTTGAAACTGGAAGTACACAATCAGGCAGCAGCAGAGACACCCCCCCCCCCCCCCCAAAAAAGGCAAATACAATACAGTACTGTGTTAAACGTAAACTACTAAAAAAATAAAGGGAAGTTTAAAAAAAAAAAGATTTGACAAGGTAAGGAAACTGTGCTTGTTTCATTTAAATTAAGATGGTTAAAAGCAGCATTTTTCTTCTGCATAGTAGAGTTTCAGAGCTGTATTAAGTCAATGTTCAGCTATAAACTTTCCAAAGAACCACCAAAGCATTTTGTTCAGTTATGAAGATTTCACAGTTACGAACAATGTCCACTCCCAAGATGTTCATAACTCTGAGGTTCTACCATATATACCTTTTCACTAAGTGCAAAGCCATTTTGAAGGATGGAGCTTACCTATTCTTTAGTATATGCAGAAAATCTTTAAATTGTCAATTTAATTTTTAAAACTCCCACTTTCATCTTGAATCTTTGACAAATACATAAAAATTTCACCTTCATTCTAGCTGTCAATACCCGTGCTTCCCGATATAGTTTGTTTCTGTTTTTGTTTTTTAAGTGGTACTCATAAAATTAAAAGTAAAGATATTAACAGCACTGCAAAATATCTCCAACCCTCTTCCCCCGGCCAAAAAAAAAAAAGTCTGAATGAGTTACTGAGAGTTCAGAAAGGAACCATTAGTAATATAAATGACCAAAATGAGATGAGAGAGAGCACGCACCTGCAAACAAATGTATGAACAAACAAACCATCATGGATGGGCAGAAACTTCATCAGAAAAACAACGAGGAGTCTTTGTGGCACCTTAGAGACTAACAAATTTATTTGGGCAGCTACCACTCTGAAACCTATCAGAAAAACAGTTTCCCTTCATTTCAGACTGGCTTGTAGATCACAATCTACAGCTCAAAGAAAAAGGAAAGTTACTTCATGTTGCCTTATCACTTCTTTTAACCTCCTGTGTGGGAATGCACAAAAAGGGAATGCCAAATATTTTAACCTTTGTACATTACATCAGAGAAAGAGCTTATTCTTATTCATTGCAGCTTGATCTCAGATATAAGTGTCACGTACCTTTTTTGACAAGTGGCTGGGCAAAACACTGGGTCTAAGCAAGAGTGACAGAAGTGTCCTGGGGCAGTTAACTTTTTATCACAATAGGGACATGGCAAAGAATAAACTATACTGAATAAGAACAGAAACAAAACAAAGGTTTCCAAGATATGCCCAGATGAACCCAGCAGGCAAGCCACGCCCCATATTGCAGAGAAAGGCAAAAAAAACCCAACCACCTCTCAATGTCTCTGCCAACCTGACCTGGAGAAAAATTCCTGCCAGATTTGGGGATGGGAAATCAGTAAGACTCAGAGTGTAAGCAAGATACAGAGAATCCTCTTATTGATGCCTGGTTGGTGTATCTCCTCAGAGCACTGATCCACCCCGCTGGGTGTCCTGACTCCCTCCCTGGCCAATCTCTAATGCTTCAGAGGTAAAATACATCAATTCTACATGGGGGACAGGGATGGAAACTCTCCCTGGCCCCTGCAGATGGCTGACTGAAGCCCTGAAGCATGTAATTTGATTACAGCCATCTAATAATAAAAAAAAGTGTGCTTAATTTCTTGTTACGTATTTTTGTCCAAATTCCTTTATTACACTGGAGGTATGGACATAACACCCAAGATGCAGCTCTGCTTAGCCATTTTTTTTTTTTAAATCTCAATTACAGCACCATCTTATAGTCATATTGCAGATTGAGGAGTGCAACCCTTTACCGCTGAATACAGAAATGGAGATGAATGCTCTCTGAACATTAACAGCAATGATCTAATCCTACATAGTCTTCTAAAATGCACCAATGAAGTGAGGTGTTCTGGGATGTTGGCCTACTGTCAACCAGCAACTGAGCTCAGATCAAAGCAACCGAATCTGTTCCTGTGACTGAATGCACTTCATTTTGGACTGCAGGACTAACTGAAGTTCAAGAGCAAAAAGCTGGTGCTTAATCTTGTGTATCTTTGTGCATTACAGTAGTTATGTAGATTTTCATAAATATCCCTCTAACATGTCAAGTAGCAGTAGCAATGTGGTGATTTTCAAATGACCAAATATCACTATAGATACCGAAATCTGGAGTATGCCTGCACATGTAAGTGCCCATATCCGCCCACTGTAATTGACAGGATACAGACACCTCAAAAGGAGACCTAATGTTGACACCATTCTATCTGCTCTTTGCCTTCATTGTACGCAAAATGGGGTGGCAGTATAAGAGAGAAAACTTAAAAGCTAGCTCTTAAAGTACACTTAGCCACTTCCCCAAGTCTAGTTACAGCTGCACATGCAAGAGTTTGTGCGCACACACCAGGAGTCTATAAAACACCATGGCAGGGGTTCTCTTTTGTTGCCTTCTTTCACGTATTCCTCCCCAATCTACAAAAGCGTGAGTGTGTTCCACACAGAGCGCTAAACATATTGGACGGATACAACAGCGTCTGGCCCTGTTCAGGAGCGAGCAGGCTGTGGCCCATGTGTGCGCCTCCAAGCCAGCCGGAGCCTGGCACTGCTGTCACCCCGCCTCTCTTCAGCTCCAGGCTCAGCATAACAGGACAGGTTTCAGAGTAACAGCTGTGTTAGTCTGTATTCGCAAAAAGAAAAGGAGGACTTGTGGCACCTTAGAGACTAACCAATTTATTTGAGCATGAGCTTTCGTGAGCTACTTAGTCTCTAAGGTGCCACTAGTACTCCTTTTCTTTTTGCATGACAGGGGACAATTCACCCCCCGGGCTCTACGGGCACAGCAGGGGAGCATCCGAGCAACCCCCATACCTCGGGCTCTTCCCAACACCTACAAACTGAGCAGCATGGGTAAGTCTCGCCTTCCACCAGCTGCCGCGCTCCTCGCTAGCCGGGTACTGAGCCCACCCCACGCCAGGCGTGCGCCCGTCGCCCGGCTGGATGCACCAGGACTCGCAAACCAGACACAACCTCTTCCCCAAATCCACGCGAGCCGCCCCTGCAGCGCGAGCTGCTCTGAGGATTAACAAGGCAGGCTGCGAAGGGAGAGCGCGCAGCGGGTTGCAGAACCGACCCTGGGTAACAGCCTGACAGGGCTGCTCGGCTCCCGGCTCCGGGGATGCAACGTAGGGCAGCGAAAGCAACGCCTCGCCTCTGTGCGGCCCCCGCCCGCACACCCTGGGACATGTCAAACCTCGAGCAGGCCTCTCAGATTTCCTGCCTCGCAGGAAGGCAACAGCCGCTGCACTCATCAGCGCGGCTGCTCGAGCACCTCGGCAGGAAAAGTGCAGCCTGCGCGCCTCGGGCCCCCCCCGGGTCTGCTCTCCCTCGCACGCCAGCCTCTCGAGGCTGCATTTCACCCCCTTGCCGGCCGGCAGCCCAACAGCGGCTCCCGCAGCAAACACAAGCCCGCGGATCAGCTGGAGAAATCGCAAACGTGTCAACCCAGCTTTGCAATCACCGCCCGCCCCAAGGGGATGGGTCCCCATCCCTTCCCCGCTCCTCGCCGCCCCGGCCCCGGCGCTGCACAGCCACGCGTCCACCCTTCACTCCGCCTAGCCCGGGAAAACACTTCGCGAGCCTGGGGGGGGGGGGGCGAGGAAAGGCAGCAGGCGCCCCGGGGAAGGCGGGGAGCCTCCAGCCCGGCGGGAGACAGCAGCCTCCGGATCTCTACCCCGCCCTGGTCACCCATCCGCCCGCCCGCCCAGTCCTGGGGGCGTCCTGCGGAAAGGAGACGCACCCAGGAGCTCCCCGCGCCGCAGCCCGAGCTCACACTCACCCATGGATGTGGAGCCGGGCTCTGCCCGGCAGCGGGGACAGGCTGAAACTTTGAGACGGCTGGACAAGCCGCGGGGACGGGAGCGCGTTTAAAGCCACGGGTCGGGGGTGGGAGCCGAGCGGAGCGGAGCGGAGCGGAGCGGAGGATGCTGACTGAGGCAGCCGGGCTGCGTGGTGCTGCTTCTCGCTAGCGGCTCCTCTGCTCTCGTCGGCATCCAAACCGCAGAAATAGGACGAGACCGGGGGGGTGAGGGGGGAGAGAGACGCAGTTTCCGCAAAGGACCTGAGCCCCCGCTGCTGCCTGCACCGGGGGCAGCCGGGCTCGGCGAGCGGGGGGGCGGCTGCTTATGGGCGGCGGCGACTCCCCCTCTTGGGTTCCGCGTGTGCAGCGGGGCAAGTGTGAATCCAGACCTGGGTCCCCCCCTCCCCGCCCCAGGCGCCGCCACGCTGGGCGCTGCCGCCGCAATCAGCGGCTCCGCTCGGCGGGAAGTGTCGCGAGAACGCGCCACAGCCCGGCTGCGCCGCCTCGGCCCCGCGCCGCCCGCAGCAGCAGGAGCGGCGGCGGCGAAAGGAAGGAGAGAAGGGGGCTAGTGACCCTCCTGAGGCAGAGGCGAGAGGCGCAGGCGTGGGGAAAACTCAGCTCCCGGGGTCCGCCCAGGGAAGGCTGGGGATGCTGCTCCTCCCCCTAGGGACAGTTAAAGAGGGAGGCAGCTTTCAGGCCGGGGGCGGGGGGAGACAGTGGCAGATCTAGGCTGTTGCTTAAAAAAACAACACAGGGATGACCATACCCTGGCCTCATAGCCACTGACTGAGGTTTGGGGGTTGGTTTTAACGTCAGGCAGCGAAAACAGTCGGGGTAGGCTATAAACAACACGCACAACCCCTTGGAGAGCGGAGGTTCCACGCCCCTGAACGGTTTCTGACACCTAAACTTCAAATACCTCCCAAATTCAAAGGTCTATATTGAACTGAAACCTCCACAAGTGCGCTAGCATAGATGCCTGCAGCTGTACTTTTCACTCCATGCATCTCAAGTGGGTTTTTTACCCAAAAAAGCTTATGCGCAAATAAATCTGTTAGTCTTTAAGGTGCCCCTCAACTCCTTGTTTTTAATCTAGAGTTGTTGCTCTAGATGAGTACTTTCCAAGGCTCTTAGGAGACTTTCTATTAGTTTGTAGCCCTGTATGGTTCAGGGGGTGTTGAAACATAGAGGGTCTGTAAAGCACTCTATTCTTGGTGACCGGATAGGAACAGCTCTTTAATACAGATTCTAATGAGAATGTATAGACCACCTCAGTAAAGCTATTCCACCTGGAGTGAAGTGGCATGACAAAAAGACCTGAGCTCTGTAGCGCTCAAAAGCTTGTCTCTCTCACCAATAGAAGTTAGTCCAATAAAAGATACCTCACGCATCTTCAAAAAAAAAGAGGAGTACTTATGGCACCTTAGAGACTAACCAATTTATTTGAGCATAAGCTTTCGTGAGCTACAGCAAGTGAGCTGTAGCTCACGAAAGCTCATGCTCAAATAAATTGGTTAGTCTCTAAGGTGCCACAAGTACTCCTTTTCTTTTTGCGAATACAGACTAACAGGGCTGTTACTCTGACACCTCACTCATCTTGTTGCTATGGAAAAAAGAGATACAGACATTAGTAAGAAGACAAGGCATCAAAGCTGCTGTAACTGACACAGTAGAGGAGGTTAGTAATAAGACACAGATTTAAAAAAATACTTTCATGTAGAGTGATTGATTTTCCTACTTTCAACTAAAGTATAAGGATTTGAAGTCTGCATTTGAAGACAATGAACACTTGTGAGGTTGACACAATGAAACAGTATCAAAATGATTCATTAGCTATTTCAGGAACAGTAACATGTTTGGACAGAAAGAGGCCAAGTGGCCTGTCTCAGCTTCCCTACCTATTTGGTAACTGGTGTTTTTCCAAGGTTAGAGTGTATGTAGAAGTTCAAGGGTCTTTGGAAGAGCTATACATATCAACTGAAGCAGACCCGCATTAAGATGGGGAAAAAAATTAAGAACTACAGAATCAATTTTAAATGGTAAGGTGTAGGAAATGTAATCTAAAGAGATATTTGCACTACTGAGCAGCTTTAACTGCCCAAGGCTGCTGTAGACTATTTCTTTAACTCTCCCTAGCATTAATTTAGCAGTGACTATGGAAAAATGCTAGCAGCCAAAACGATATAGATTTAACATGTGGAGCATATTCTTTCCTGTTTGAAAAATAGCTCTCAGGTATCAGAAAAGCAGAAATTATAAAAACACCTCAGTGGAGGCAGAATTGTCTAAAAGTAGAAAAAAATGCTTTGATGCAATTTATTTGGCCATCAGAATCTATATTTTTGAAATCAAGACTTGAGTGAAGTGTTTTAATGTAGAAAATTAGATGATCTCAGAACATAAACTCCACAGGGCAAGTGGCATGATTTCAGTTTTCGATGTCACGCACACATTGTGCTTTATAAATACCTAGGTTTAATTTTTTAGTAATACAGTATGTCTATTAGAACTAACTTTTGTTCAACTATAAAGCTATGTCTGTAGGAGACTGATTCCATAAACAAGGAGTTTAAACTGAACCAGCTTAGACTTAACTGTATTCCTCTTATTGTTTAAAGTACTGGAATTTTACGTTTTGAAAAAAATATATTACATGTCCAAAAAAGAAAAAAGTGTGCACAGAATGGCTTATAATGTTAAATGATTTCTGTTTTTATTAGACGTATCTGTAAGGAAAATAGTAAAACAAATCCAACACACAATAGGGACAGAATAGAAATGTAAGAGGAGCAAGGTAGGAAGAGTATCTCATTGAGTCAGCTTTCACTGAAAAGAAGAATCAAGCCAACTTGTCCATTAACGTAGTTCCATCAAAAGCAGAGTAGAGATGTAAACTGAAAGGTATTTTTTGTTTCACTTTTCACTCCAGGCAATGGCATTGAAACATTTCTTGTAGTCATTCTTCCAGTCAGGGAGTGGAGGATTCTCTAACACATCACAGCCTGGCTCTTCACATACAAATGCAACCATACAAAGTCTGCACAAGGTCCAATTTACATCTGTCTCATGTACTAAATTCATCACATTTCCACAATATGAACTGAGGTTTAAGGTCTTTTTAAAATAACCAAACACCCCTTTTATAATGGCTTTCCTATATTTTTTAAATCTGTGGGATAACCAGAAAGTGTGGAAATACAACTGCTGAAATTGTAGTGCTGGAAAGGTCTATTCTGACACAACCCATCTGCCTCCATTTAAGAAGAGTCCAAGATCATAAGTAAATAATGTGCCAACCTATATTTAGAATTGATGGAACTAGTTTTGATAAAAGAATGAGGATGATTCCATTGTAGAATGTTAATTGCTCCAGTTGTGGTTCTAAGGAGCTTAAGGTGTACTGGAGAAATTGGTATACCTGATTAGGCTATGTCTACACTACTGCGGTAAGTCGACCTACGCTACGCAATTCCAGCTACATTATTCACATAGCTGGAGTTGACATACCTTAGGTCAAGTTACCGCAGGATCTACACCGCGGTGGGGTCAACAGGAGAAACTCTCCCATCCACTTTCCTTACTCTTTTTGTCGGGGGTAGAGTACAGAGGTTGACTGAAGAGCGATCTGCTGTCGACTTGGCAGGTCTTCACTAGACCCGCTAAATCTACCGCTGGTGGATCAATATCAGAGCATTGATCCCGGCTGTAGTGTAAACATAACCTTAGAAAGAGGAGCATTTCTTCAGCAGTTTCTACAGGGATGGATCAGTGCTGGCAGGGAGACAGATGCCACAGTGTCTTCCAGTTTTCACAAACTGGCTTACTCCTATGTACAATTCCCAACTAGGCTCTCAGAATCAGAAAACTTCTTCCCTTCTGCTAAAGCACACTAGCAACTTCTGTCCAGCTTGAAGGAAACCACTCTAAAATAATTACTGTATTTGAATTAGCCAGTTTCCCGAGGATTAAAGCATGGAGATAATATACTCCCATCCTGGAGAGCGAAAAAAAGCTTTTTCTATAGTGTAGGCACTTTGTGGCTGGAAGCATCATTAGTTGTATGTTCATGCAGTGCCAACTACAAAAGGGACCTGATATGGTTAAGGCCTCAAGATGGTATCATAATATCCCAAAATAGCTTTCTAAGCCCTTTACTTTGCCAAAAGAATGACATACACTTAATACATTATTGAATAATATATTAGAGATAAGGATATCTTTAGAAAAGAAGGCATTTGGAAAAGAAAATTAATCTTCACAACTACACTGTTTGCTTAGAAAAATGTAAGGATTTGTTAAAATGCACATTACCCTGATGTATGGGATGTGATTATATATTTTAGATAAAAATGATTTTTTTGACTGATGTATTTCTCAGGAAACAAAAGCTCAACCATATGTAGGATGCAATTTTCAAAAGCACATAGTTGTTCTTGTTGATTTTTAGGGAGACTTGTGCTCTTCAAAAAACAACAAGGAGTCGGTGGCACCTTAAAGACTAACAGATTTATTTGGGCATAAGCTTTTGTGGGTAAAAAACACTTCTTCAGATACATGGAATGAAAAGTATTGATGCAGGCATATATATACACTGACACATGAAGAGACGGGAGTTACCTCACAAGAGGAGAACCAGCGTTGACCACTGTTTGGAGGACTGTGATTCATAAATATTAATTTGGATCCTTGCAATTTTAGGGAAAGAATGAACTTTCTCGGCAATTGGTTAGAAAAAGGCAAACATTTAATTTTTGACTTTTGAGTTTCAAGAGGGAGAGTAGCCATGCCTCTTAAGGGTCTTTCAGGGCCTAAACTCTGAGTAGTGTTACTTTTTTACATTTTAGTGTCATGTAAAAGGATGGCGTCACAAAAAGATACACACACTTATCAGACTACTGGAGTGCAGAGCACACACTTTTCTCAAGGTGATCTCTTAAATTTTAGAAATTGGAACAATACAAATGTGAATTTAGATGTGATCAGAAATATTAGATTTGACTCTGTTAAGCCGAAAGATGCTATAGAGGACAAAAGTAATATAGAAAGTTAGTGACTTTCTGACTGCAATTGAAAATATTCTATCCTTCAGCCCTATCCCTAGATTCTAAGGTCACTTATTACAGTACTTTCCATTTTGTTAAAAATCGAGGTTTTAAAAACTGTAAAGTGATGTTTGTAAACTAGCATAGATGGGCTTGAGTTTGTTACAGCAGTTTTAAATATTCAACAGAAATGTACTCACACAGCAAATGCATGCCTCCCCATAAGTGGTGTACAAATAACCAGGATTTGCAACAAAAAGGATATAGAACTACATCTTTTGAATGGAATAAGTGATATATTCAGAACCTATCCTAGAGTTTTCTACTGTATCCATCATAATACCCAAACATTATTGTTCTAAGAATTCAATAACATTTGTGGGCACTATAAAGACAAGAAATATGAAATAGAAGCAATGCTACTACACCCCATATTAGCCAGAAAGGAAACGTACCCAAAATTATAACTATATTAAAACTTTACATTCACA